CTGTTAACCACCACCGGTCAGCAGTTCAGAACCTATAAAGAGTTCTAGTCTTGGAAACCTATAAGGGAAATTCCACACTGTTCTATAAGGTGGCAATGTGAGACTCGATTCTATGACATTGAGTTTTGAGAGCTTCACTTTTGATTAATTTTTCAATATGCTTCTGCAGCTTGGTGCCCACAGTAAATGAACATAATGTCGTCTTTACTAGAAATCCCAGGAGTCACTTGCACAGGAGTTAAAGGACCCAGGCCATTCAGATCCTTTACACTAACTGTGATTAGGGATCGATGCACTGGCCGACATCTTTCAGAAGTATTCTCCATTCTGCGTGTGAATAATGTCATTCCTGGCTCAGATGGCATGTGAATCATTTCTTTTAGAAGGATAAGTAAAAGGCTGGCCCCTGTGAGGTGGAGTTTAAAGATGTCCCAGTGTTCCACCTTTTTCAAACTGCTGTACCACCTACTGCATCATCTCTCTTTTCAACTACTCTTCCTCATTTTAGGGTTCTGTAACTTATTGGAATGTCACACAGAACTCACAAACCATTAAGAAAACCACTCTCGGCTATGAAGGCTGTCAAGTCTCAGATCTGTCGGTAAGGCACCAGTCTAGAAGCCTTTCCCACCCCATGGGACTGCAGGAACTGATGAATCCCACTCAGTAGGTCAGATTACAGGTTGCTGGCTCAAGTCCCAAGAACCAGCAGTCAAAGGAAGAGGAGCCAGATGCAGGATTCAAAGCAAAGTGAATTTTGCCAAAGCATTCCCATATGTTGGATGCAGACCACACCCCCAAGGAAACTAAGGGGGGTGGTGTCAGTTACATCCTCTAGTAAGACTTGACTGAAGGTATATCCTACCTTAATCCTGCCTCATGAACATAATAGACAATTCAATATGGGACTATAATGACAGGCATAAAAGCTAGGATTTACAATAGATCACCAAACAGGGTTATGGCCAGAACGACAGCCATGCTCCTATTAATTCACTGCACCACAGATGGCAAATACAGTATTATAGTACCAGGAACTCTAGCACCACCCTCTTCTTACATTCTAAAGTATCTTATGCTAAAATCCTTAATGGGGCAGGGAGGACATCATGGGGATTTTTTATAATATGTAGGAGTATTCTTTAGAATTGGTTCTAGCACCTTCAGATCCTCCACTTTAAATTATTCTTTGGAGCCTTGGTGACAAAGTTATGTATGCATTGGGCTGCTAACTACAACGTCAGCAGTTCAAGACCACCAGCTGCTCCATGGGAGAAAGATGAGGCTTTTTAGTCCCATAAAGTTACAATCTCAGAAACCCACAGAGGCAGTTCTAGCCTGTCCTATAGAGTCACTATCACTCAGAATTGACTTGATGGCAGTGAGTTTGGGACTGCATGGACCATAAAGCTGTACTTCATAATTCTAAGCATGTTGTACTTGTGCCTGTTTTCTTTTCTTTTCTGAATTCGGAAGTACTGTGTTAGCTTAATTGTAGACGTCTTGCTAATATCTGATACTTGTCTGTTGCCTCCACCATGCCCCAGTCCTTGCCCCAGCCCCTTTCTTCCCTGCTCAACCAAGGCTGGGCTCTAGGGCACTATCCTTCCTAGGCCTGCCCCTACATTAACAAGGTCAGGAGGAACCACTACAGTCACCACCGCCACCCACCAGAGATGCTCACATTACATTTTTTACAATTGTACAGCATTTAGATCAGTGGTTCTCAACTTCCTAATGCCGCGACCCTGTATAATCCAGTTCCTTATGTTGTGGTGACCCCCCCCAACTATAAAATTATTTTTGTTGCTACTTTACCACTATCATTTTGCTACTGTTATGAATCAGGCAACCCCTGTGAAAGGGTTGTTCAAGCCCCAAAGGGGCCCCAACCCACAGGTTGAGCACTGCTGATTTAGATTATGATGGAAGATTATGGGTTTTTCTTCTTTACACTTCTCTGTATTTTTCAAATCTTCCAGAATAAGTATGTACTACTTTTATGATAGAAAAATTTAAATTTCAGTGCATTCTGATTCAATCATGTGAAACTTCTTTAACAAAATCCCCTTGTTTACAAAAGATTTGTGGAACTCCACAGAGTGGCATTAAAGGGTGATACGTGGAAGGTTTCTTTGTGTGTATTTTTTTGATACGTAGAAGGTTTTACCAAAATTGTGAAAATGCCACCTACCTGCCTGATGCTTTAAAGTCTCCCGTGGAGATCCCAGGACCTCGCTGGTCTATCCCAACTGTTAATATTTTTTTAAAACTTTAAATTTTTTTGTTGAAAATTGGGTAAAAACTGAGGAAATCCATTTTCCATCCAGCAATTCATACACATTTTGTTTCATGTCATTGATTGTAATCCCCACAATGTTACATCCCTCATCACACTTCCTCCCTGTGTTTCCTTGTATATTCCTCCTCCTTTCCTTCCTCCTTGCCTTCTGAACTTGTCCTTGGGCAAATGCAGCCCTTTTGATTTCAGAGGGGTTGGTTGTTCTAAGGTGTATGCACCCAGCCCTTTCCTAGTGGCAATCACTTCATAGACCTGTCAGTTGTTGGGTGAAAGCTGAGCAGCGAAGGTGAGTTCAGTTCCAGGCCTGAAGCACGCCTAAGAGACATCATCTCAGGGATCAATTTTTAATCCCTTAATAACCAGAGAAATGTACCATAAATCTTCCTGGCCTCAAAGAAACTAAGGACCTTTAAAGTGCATTTTAACACCAAAATGCTAAAAGCAGTGGTGCTAAAGTGATTGGGTCCATGAATGGGTTACTTCTCTATTTTCATGGTCTATAATAAAAACATCCATCTCCCCACCCCACAGCCCCCCAGCTCCAAATGGGTTTTCTTCCTGTCTTTAATGCTAATGTTGGGATGTGAAGTTGAGAGTTTATAAAGGGCTTTTCACAGGTCTTAAATCTGGAATATCACAACCACCCCAAGAAGTGAGAAAACTAGGAGGGCCAGTGAAGTAACTTTCCTAACATCACATAAGTCACTGCTGCTGGACCCAAGCCTCCCATTCCAAATTCCTTCAGAGATACTGTGGCAGCCAGCCTCCAAAATGACACCCCCACCCCTGCCCTCCTGGTATTAACAACCTTCTTAGTCCCCTCCCACTTTGAATAAGGCTGTAACTAAGAGGATATTGCATAAACGGAAATGACAAAAGTGTGACTTCTGGGATTTGGTCATAAAAGACCCTGCAAGTTCTGCATCCTGCTCTTAAATCACATGCTGTTGGGGAAGCCAGCCAATTGGTCAGGAGAACCTATGGGGAGAGACAGCGGCTGGGGCCCAGGCCAAGGCGGACAGAAACTGAAAATGAAAGGCCGGAGTCAGCGGCACACTAACAAGTTGCTCCTGGACTCGGGACCCACAGGAACCGCATCAGGTGATGTTTGGGTTTCTGCCACTATGTTTTGAAGTATTTTGTTACACCTCACTGTATCTAATCTAGACGTAGTGCCTTCCCTCTGCCCCTCTGCATGGCTCTTGCCTTTTATGAACTACTGAAATACAAATTAATTGTACATATTATTTCAAGGTGTTCCCAGGCCCTCTGAAGCCAATTCACAGTAACAGTCACAGTAGGGTTACTAACATTTTCTCTGCAGCCCAGAGAAGTCAAACTACTTGTCTCAGCTCATGTAGCCAGTGTGTGCCAGAGGTAGGATTAAAATCCACACTTTTGACCAACTTGCTATTTGGCCTCCCTGAAGCCCTGAGGGACCTGGGTTTCAGACCACTGCTCTAAGCTCACCCCTCCCACCTTCTTCCTTCTCCCTCCTCCTGTCACCAGGTAGGTTGCACTTCTCTGGTCCCATTCTAATCATAATTCCTAAGACCCATTGTAGGCTCACTGCCATCCAGGCAATTCTATTCCAACTCATAGCGAGTCTACAGGGCAGAGTAGAATTGCCTTGGTGAGTTTCTGAGACTATAAGGCTTCTGAGAGCAGAAAGCCTCATCTGTCTCCTGCAGAGCCATTGGTGGGTTCAAACTGCTGAACTTGCTATTTGCCTAACACATCCACTATGCCACCAGAGCTCCATTGTGTGCTAGGCTCCACCAATGACGGGGTGGCTGACTTTGAGGGCCTCTCATCTAAAGGGATCACAGACACAGAAACAAACACTTATTTAAACAGTAAGATCATTGTCTTATTTGGACAAGGAAGTGGCAAGTTCTGGGAGGCAGGTTTCACTGAAAGGATGGTTTGGTACCGCCTCAAAGGCACAAAGAGGATTGGGTGTGAGGTAGAAGTTGACACTGAATGTGGTAACACTAGGGTGAGGGGTCGGGGGGGTGTGAAGATGCGAGTATATGCATTTGGGAAGGGGCCAGCAGGAGAGCTCTGGGATCTGGTGGCTGGCAAGGGGACAAGAGGTGGACCCTACCAAAAGGAGGTCTAACTGCATGCTGTAAGAGCCCAACCTTCAGGGCCTGGCTGATCCAGGTGCTCAGCACCATTTGCTAAATGGATTTATAAGCTGGATCTGTGCTAAGGAAGCTCTGTTAATTATATGCCAATAAAACTATTTTTTAAAGGCCTAACTGAACTTCTACTATGTTATACTAGAAACATTATAGGACCACATTTATTTACTACTTTACCCCTTTTTATCTGGTGGATAAAAGCCTAGAGTCTTATGGCTCTACTCGATATGTTCTCTCAAAGAGTTATCACTGAAGATATGGGTGAAAAACCAAATGGTGCCCAGCTATCAGAATAGCCTCTGGGGCCTTAAAGGCTTGTCTTCAAACAAGCAGCCATCTAAGTGAGACATCCGGTCAACTAAGTCCGCATGAAAGAAGCACTCGTCTGTGTGATCCAAGGACTGTAAGTAATATAACTCAACTGAGAAGGAGGGAATGGTATCAGAGCTTAAATTCTGAACACTCCGTTTACAGATGGCAACGGATGAGAGTGGAAGCCCAAATTCTATTTGCAGGGTCCCCTGATGGATAAGCTTCCTTTTTTTCCTTACAATGTTTGCATCCAGAAAAGATGAACTCCACGTGAGAAGTCACTCCACTCTCAGAGGTGCAGAATGCTGCCCAAAGGTACGTGCCCGCAACACTGAAAATGTGTGGAGCCACACCTCACTAGGCGGTGCTTGCTCTTCCAACAGTGTAACACGCCATCCCAGGCATTGTGTTACCTCGACCATAGTCTAGAGATGTGAAAAGCCTTGCTATCAGACAGCATTGTAAAGTTGATTATGGCAGATGTAAAAGCACCGTTATCAAGTCAATTCCAACTCATAGCAACCCTATAGGGCAAGGTAGAAATACCTTTGTGGGTTTCCGAGACCACAACTTGCTATGGGAGCAGAAAGGCCCACCTTTCTTCCACATGGTGCTGTAGTTAAATTAAAACAGGACATGTGATCACATCATTTCCCTTTTGACCCATTTAAAAGTTGTGTCAGTTTTTAATATTTTGTTTTCCTATGTTTTTGTCTGTTTTGTCATTATTGTTGGGTGTTTGTGTTTTTTATGTTTTTCTGTACGTGGAATCCAGGATAGGTAAAACTAAAGAGAAAATAACTAGATTAATAATTGCCTGGGGGCATGGGAGGGGAGGTTGGGGGGGGACTAACAATGAGTATGAGAAGAAAATGTTCCGAAATGGATTGTGGGTGATGACTGCACAACCCTTCTTAATATTACTGAAAGATTAAATTGTATGAAATGTGAACTATATGCCAATAAAACAAAAATAAAAGCCTAGAGTTTGGTGGGAGCTGAAAGGAAGGGATGTCTCAAGCTGACACTAGGTAGGGAAAAACTCAGTAATTATAGCTACTTTAGGTACACAAAGTATGTTAAACCCAACACATTTCTTATGTACTACTAATCCATTTCAAGGGGGGAAGGGTGATGGAATCCATTCATATCAACGATAAAACAAGGTGTATCATCTGGAAATAAAGCTAACACAAAATGTGCAGATCCCGCATAAAGCAAGCTATGAAACGACACTGAGACGCAGAAGATGACAGTTTGCCTTAGATTGGAAGCCCTCTAACAGGTAAATATGAATGATCCCCAAATTAACCTGGCCAGGGTCAGCCCAAGGAAAGTCCCTGTGAAATTTGATTTTGTCAAAGTGGCCCATTTTCAACTGAAAAACTAGATGCATCTATTTTTTTCCCTCAACAAAACTCCCTCCCATTTACTGACCTTATGCTTACCCTGTGCAAGGACTTGATATGCATTGTCTCATTTCATCTTCACAAAAGCACCATGGGGTGGATACTGTTATTATTCATATTACACGGATGAGAAAGCAGCAACCCAAAAGGGAAATAACTTACCCAAAGCCACACAGCAAGTCTGAGAGGGTTAAATGTCAGGGTGTCTTGACCCCAAACCTAACCACTCCACTCAAGGAAAATTTGAAAGAGGATGGTTTAGGACTTGCCCCAATATTAAAATGTATTAGGAAGCTACACCACCACATCCCACGCCCCTGAAACGGCCATGGAATTGGCTGTGCTTCAGAGTGACCTTACCTTGGGGTTTCGAGGCTGTCAATCTTTATGGGAGATTGCCTCATCTTTCTCCCTCGGAGCGGCTGGGGAATTAACAGCCCATGTTTATTTGAACTCACAGTACCGCCAGGACGCGCTCATGCTCAAGAAAGGTACAGACAAACCCAACGGATACAGGTGTGTAAGACACTGTAGGGCAAGCTAAAGGTGACAATTTGGAGAAAAGACGGAAGTCAGGACACAGAAGGTGATCACTGGCGAGCATTCAGAAACAAATTAAATTGGATCATCACCTCAAGTCTAAATGAATTCTATCTAAATCAAAGGTGTGGGTGACAAAAGGAAATTATTTGGCGAAAAAAAAAAATTCAGACCAAAAAATCCTGGAACTGGAAATCTTTCTAAGCATGATATGAACGTCAACAATGGTAACTAAAAGTAAACTCAATAGATTTCACTACATAAAATTTAAAATACAGTTATGGCAAAAAAATATTGTACTATAGTTTCAAGACAATAAAGTTGGAGGGAAATATTTGATAACGGGTTCAGAGTCCTATTAAGCAAAGAACTCTTAAAAGTCAACGGGAAGCTTCTCAAGAGAAAAATGGGCAAATAAATATGGTCTAAACACATCTAGCAGGGAAGCAACAAAGCCCACATGGAAGAAGCACACCAACCAATGGGATTAAGAAGTGTTTAGGGTTAGATATCAGGCATCACAAGACCCAAAACATACAATCACGCCCCCAACAAACATCAGAAATGTAGGTGAGAGGAGAGAGCTGACAGTGTAAAACATGAAAACAGAAAGGATTTATAAATCATTGAGAGTTCACAAGGGTTGGAGGAGGGGGAGGGAGGGGGAAACAGAGGAGCTGATGCCAGGGCAAGATATGATAAAATAACAATTTATAAATTATAAAGGGCTCATGAGGGAGGGGGAGTGGGGAGGGAGGGGGAAAATGAGGACCTAATGCAGGGGGCTTAAGTGGAGAGGAAATGTTTTGAGAATGATGAGGGCAATGAATGGACAAATGCGCTTTACACAATGGATGGATGTATGGATTGTGATAAGAGTTGTATGAGCCCCTAATAAAATGAATTTTAAAAAAATTGAGATGCCATTTTTTCAATAGACCAAAAATTAAAAATACACACAAAACCCAGTGTTGGTAGATTCGGAGAAATGAGCATAACTCTTGCACTGCTAGTGCAGGGAGCAAATTCAGTCCTGTTAGAAGGCAATTTAGGAATTCAGAACAACTATAAGTGAACAAACCTTCTGATCTAGTCCTTTACTTCCTGTGGGAAATTCAAGAGTGAATGCTGCTCTATGTTAAGAGGTTGCTTCCTAATAGCATTGTATAATCTAGTACAAATATAGAAATGACTTCAATGACCAGTAAGAGTATCCAATTCTGGTTTCTTTCTATAATGGATTATAATAGTTTATTATACCGCCACCATGCCAATAACACAGGTCTGTATTTGTCCATTGGAAGCAAACGTACTGCTGTGTAGACAGGACAGGTGTGTCATATAAGTCCAGGCATTGCGTTTGAACCATGGGCCTTAGCTGGCAAATGAAGAGTTTGCATAGTTCTATAAAGCAGACGATTAACAAAACTCAAGCTGAATTTCCAGTGATGTATAATTACTTTTCTGGATAGTTTTAACATCAGAAGACACAATTTTTATAATCGGAATATTCAATCTATCAAGTTCACGGCAAAAAAAAAAAAAGCCTAACTCAACTCCTACTATGTTGACTAGAAACATTGTAGTCGATGTTTATTTCCTAGTTAACCACCTCAAGGAGCTATCACTGGTTCATTTTGCAGGTAAGGAAACAGCCCAAGGGAGGGTAAGCAACTTCCCCTTGGACGTGTCAAGATTTGAACACAAGTCTGGCTTTTTCCACAATGCTGCACTGCGACCTTCAATACCACAATGAATGCTTACTAATAAAAGCCTGTTAAGTGCCAGGTACTTGGGTGGCTACTTTCATTCTTTCAGCAATTCTGCAGGGCAGGCATTCACCTTCCCACCCTGCAGTGCCCCAGTTGGCTAACGCAGGCTAAATAACCCCCACAATCCTCCCTGCCCTGTGTGCCCTATTTCTTGCTGATCCAGCAGCACGCTATCTTCTCCTTGAACGTGCTTTGCCCCTGCGGCTTCGGCTCTTCTACTTGTCCTTAAACTACTTTGAAGTTCTTTGGCTTGTCTGCAGTACTTAAATATGTTATGCAAATGCTTATTTATGCCATGTAGTTATGTAAACTAGAAAGTTGTCAAACCGTAGTTCATCGAAGATGAATCTTGTCACCCAGCCCAGAATCCCCGAGGATGTTTGGTTGGCTGGCAGAAGGAAATCAAAGCCCATCAGCCTAGCCAGGCTCCCTCACAGTTTGGCTTTCATCCGTTTGGTCACCTGGCTCTGGAGTGCCCTGGTCTCTTCTCATTCTTGATCCTGATTTCATGCCTCCTGTGTTTGCCCACTCCATCCAAGGACCACCCCCACCCCCGCACAGCAGACCACCTGGCCCGGAGAGGTGTTCAGTAAATAAATGTTCACTACACCACTAAGAACAAGGGTCTCAAAAGGACCCTGGGAAAGGAGCAAGGGAAGGCAACACACTGAACATCAGTCACCTGGAGACTGATCTCTGGGTTGGGCTCGCCTGCTTTAACATAATCAAAACAGCTACCACAGGCCAGGCACCGTGCTTTAAACATATCCTTGTGTGGGCAGGAGCAGCTCTGGTGACTTTAGTGGTTTATGCATTGGGCTGCTAACCAAAAGGTCAGTAGTTTGACCCCACCAGTCCCTCCAAGGGTGAAAGATGCACAGCCTCGGAAACCGAAGGGCAGTTCTAGAGTCAGAAAAGACTTGATGACAATGGGGAAGGCTTATAGATAAGGAGCATGGGGCTTCGGCCAAGGAACTTCTCCAAAGGTATCCATGCAACGAGAATAAAAACAGGTCCCTGGCCACAACCACTGACCAGCATTTAGAAATATCCACTCTGGGGACCGTCATCAGTCAAGCCACCCAAAACAGTAAAGCACCCAAACCGAGAAGCAAACCCACTGGCGTGGAGTTTATCCCAACTGGTGGCAACCCTACAGGGCAGAGTCCAGCGGCTCCCTCTGCAGGGATGCCGAGACAACCTCTTCCCGGGAGCCGGCCGCCTATCTCAGCCCACTGCCGTCTGTCTAGTTGATTCTGACTCAGAGCCACAGGACTCCTTAGTTGACACAGCAGCCAGCAGCTCTGAGCACTCCACACCAAGCAGCTTTCCCAGCGCTTCGCCATTTGAATACAGTCATCTAGGAAGCCCTGGGGATGATCTTTTTCTGACAGTCATGAGAGCAGAGCCACAGGGGAGTGAAGAGACCTGCCAAAAGCGCAGAGCTAGTAAATGAGCTGAAGCTCAACCGGCTGTCTGGCTCCTGCAACCACTGCCGGTGCTGCCCCAGTCACCCAGAGCCGGAGCGGGTAGGGGGGGGGAGCCAGGGTGCTCCACCCTTTGGGTAGGTTCTCGTGCTTGCTCTTCATGTTCATTCTTTCAATTCTCACTGTCAATGCCTGTGACGCTCCAGATGATGGAGACAAAGTAAATTCGGGCCGCCTCGGGTAAGATGTGGCCAAGCCTCCTCGGCAGTGGTTTAGGGCTATGGGTTGG